CCTTTATTGAAAATCTTATTTGTGAAACTGAAGATTATCTTACAAATTATAATCTTACGATTTCTACCAAATAAACTGTAGGAACTACCGTTGATTTATGGATCGTAGGTTCAGAAATAAAATCGGTTTTGTTGCTTTGATAGGTTTTCATGGACGTCGCCACGGGCAGGGGGCAGTAGTCCCTTGAAAAATGTTAAATATTATGTAAGTAAGCTCCTTCGAAATAAAAGGATGCCTACAATTCCTATAGATCCACATAGATAACTAAAAAGGACTAGTCAGTTTATTAAAAAATTGAACCACATGTTGTTTAGCATTCTCATTAGAATAAAAAAAAAGTTTTACTATCATCAGCCCCGTTCGGCACCCTCATAGATCATCGGCATCATTTGGGCTTTAGACGGTAACAATGGAACTTAAACACATACAGACCCGCATAAAAACGTACATACGCGAAAAACATTAACCTCATGAGTTGTTGGGTAAAAATTCAACATATTCAATCTGAGTACAAGATTTTTGAGTAGGTTGCGTAAGAGCTGTCTTAGTTCCCGTTGGGTTTTACGATCAACTGCAATAAACAAACTTCACTGTTTATTGTTTACAGTGAAAGTTCACTTTGAATATGTGAACCATAATAATCTTTTTATAATAGGACAAAAAGCGTTTTTTTTTTTTTAAATTACTTTTAAAATGTCAATGACATGCACAAAGTATTCTGTTTTATCTGACTAAAGAGATTTCAAATGGCCAGTTTCTTTTCCCTTCTTATCCTGTTAAATTTTTCCTCATTTATTTTCTCCACGGCCTTTCGATATTGATGATCATATCTATTAGACGTCAAACTGATTGTCGGCCAATTGCTCAGAACTCGATTTTTGTAAATGTCTTAACTGTTTTACCTTGGGTTTCTGTGCCCAAATCCGTTAAAAACATATTATCTCAGTTTTGTCAATAATAATGACAAGGATGACGATATGTTTTATGCAAAGGTTTTGGTCTGAGAAACCAGCGGTTAATCCTTTTTGACAGTTGTAGTTGTGTAACATTTACTAGTAAACAAATGTTTTGCTATGAGGGGTGATTAAGGATACATATATTGAATGAATTTAACTGAAATTTTGTTTCGTTTCCTCAGTAAGATAAAGTCATATGTTTCTATTTTAGATCTATCCGATTAAATCTAGTACTCATGGAGCATAGTCAAAACGTTTTTCTGAAGATGCATCCGGCGCGCCGCGGCCGCCGCGCGAGTGCCCGCTGACAGACAAATGCGCGGCAGGAAGATGGCGTCGTTAGCGCTGTCGTCGCGTCGGCCATAAACGTAAATAAAGTGCGGGAAGAGGGTCTCTGGATTTTTGTGTTGCGTTCGGAAATGCACTTTGTTCTTGGTTATACTGTTTGAAAAGTTATTTTTGATTTTACGACATTTTATAATATGAAAGATATGTAGTTAAATAAATTATACACAGAAGCTACGGCTAATCTTTGAGAACATTTTGTTTCGGTCATATTAAATATATGAAATTGGGTTCCTTTAAATGAAATCCGAATCAATAGGTTACCAAACAGATCGTTATTGTCATGTTTGTGGGTAAGAGCGTTGATTCTCGTTAGCTATTAACCAAATAAAACCCCTTACGATGCAAAACACAGTATGCAGTTACCAATTCAGTTTAACTGAAATGGAAGCGCCCATAGCAATAAGAAAATACGAAATCTCTTTTTAAGAATAGTTGCTGATACAGACGGAATACACTTAATTTTGCAATAGGTATAGGTCTAGGTCTTATCTATTGTTCTTGTCTGTTTGTATCAGTATAAAATATAAAATTAGTAAGTAGTTTTAACAGTCAAACACATTTTTTATATCATAACTGCATAATTGTCAACGAATTAAAAGAAAAAAAACTACATGAAGCTTCGTTATTTAAATATGTATCGATATGTCTGTCATCATTTCCTAATTATAATCTGTGACATTGTACAGTCTGTGCACTATGTGACTCATTAAACTTCCTATTAGCCGGTGATTTGTTGCAATTTTTGTTTTTTTTATTCGTTGCGCGGGAATGCGTACGTGGGATGTTCTGGAATCATCTGTAAGCTCCGCCTGAAGCGCATCGTCTCTCTTACTCAACGTTAATGTGGCTTTGAGTGAAAGAGAAAGGAGATATCATGTTCCCGCCACGCCTTTATATCCGTGCCAGATATCGGTCAAAAGAAATTAAGAGATTTCTTTGTAGTATTTTATTATTTCTAATAGTCTTCATTTCTTTAATATGTTAATAAATTGATTTTTATTAGGATATAAACTACGACTTATTATGCTAGTTACGAAATAATGCGAAATAAGATTCGAAGATTTCACAATGAAAATTTGTGTATTTGTAATTGAGTATTAAAAGATTTACTGTACTAGTTCTATTAAAATTTGTTTGAATTGTTACATATTTCTAGTTATCATTGTATAAAATGTATTATAATATTATTACGAATGTTTTTATGTCATACGAATTAATCAAGTCGCAAACTGCGTAAAAACATTTCTGGTTTTAAGTAATTGGTGTTTGACAGTGAAATACTCGAATACAATGAATGTGGGAAGAGGAGAGGACGTACAGAAAGAAACTTCTCTGTCAAATTCACTTTCCGATGCTATCCTATCCTTATAAGATAAGGATGGGAATGGAAATAAGAATAAAATAAGGCTAAAGAATAAAATTATATGATGACCACGACTCCATTCGCGTGGAATTAGAAAGAAACTTTAAATTGTTTTTTGTGCACTTTTCCAGGCTAACTCAGAAGTTAACACTAACAATAAAAAAATCGATTTATTTCGTATCTTTTTTTAGAGAGTGATTGGATTCGATCGGATTGGATTAGTGATTACCTATTCCTGCATTCTATAGTAAATATAGTCTGTCGATATTTTTTTAATTAATTTAGATCTGCCTATTCGTATCGTTCCAGTAACACCAGATGTATTCAAAACGATATAAAAAAAAAGGTTTTAATATCCCGGCAAGACGGAGACGTAGCGTGGTCGTATGTTGCCAGTCTGCAGCCACAGAAGGAGTCCTTCTTCTCCTGGGTTGTAAAGTGCTAAGAATTCCGTTTCAAGTGCTTACCTGAGATCCTGGAATACTCTTCTATCACAGCGGAAATAATTTATCGTGTCACAATTTTCGTTCCCACACTCCTCCGAAACGGCTTGACCGATTCTCATGAAATTTTGTGAGCATATTGAGTAGGTCTGAGAATCGGCCAACATCTATTTTTAATTGTTTGCGAACGGAGTCGCGGGCGACAGCTAGTTATTTATAAAATTGAAGTGTCTTTGTCATTTAAAAAATCGTATTACGCAATTATGTTTCATTAGGGAAAATCCAGCTTTTAAATATTGTCTGTCTAGCCGTAAGGCTGCGTTTGTTGAAGGTATTCTTCGGAACGACTGGACCGATTTAGACGGGAAGGTAGCTGATGCAGGCGGGTGTTTTAAGCTACTTTTATTTAATTCTGTGCTAAAGAAGTTACAAGCAACCGCTAGATTATAGTATTTTTCTAACTATTCTAGATATACCTAAGACATTGCTATATACAGTGTTGTTTGAAACGCGTACAAAGTCAAAAAAATATTACTCTGCGTTAAACAGCTAAAAAAAATAAAAAGCTCGGTTAATATACAACATAGTTTAATTGATTTTCTAAACTTAGTCAATTACCTAGAGTAAATTAGAAACTAGCACATGTGAAATCCATGCCAATACATTCAATCATGCGCCTGCGCAAGTAAATAACTTCTTATTTATTTACATTAGAAATGTTGTGCGTCGGCGGGTGCGCATGATGTTGCCCTTTGAAGTTTAAGTGACGGGACCTGTCAGGCTCGCGCAAATCCCGGTCTCAAAAAAAAAACGACCAATAATGTCTACACTTGCTTGCTTATGTGCTCGTTTTCTGTATACATGTAAATTTTTCTATCAGTTCAATTTTATGTAGTGTCAGAATGATATGGATGTATAGTTCGACAAGCTTATCTGAGCCGGTAAGAGAGGCGCTGCTTATTGTGTTACAAAATATATAAAACCTACATAGACATAGAAAATAACATAAAAGAAAAGAAAAAATGTCAAGACATTTACTGTACGACAAGTACTTTGTCGAGCGTGTAAACTATACGATGAAATAATAGAAGTTCTGGTAGACGATTAATTAAAGTTAATACAAAAATGTAAGACAAAGATGTTTGGTAAGGTCTGAAAGGGATCGAAAGCTGCTTACCCGCCATTAGTACATGTGCTGTAAGATAATTTTGTCATTATGTCTATACATGTGTTATTGTCATCCGCGCAAAAAGTACTAGAATTCATTTAGTATGGCAGTTCTGCCTAGTCTTTTTCTCTATAGTCAAAGATGTTGCCAGTTAGCTTGTTTATAAGACGTGCAGACAGACAGGCCGACTCGTTCACTATATATAAACAGTATGCAGGTTAACGATGTACCAGGTATATATGGCAAAAATAACTTTATGGTCGTAAAGATGTCAGTTTTGGTTTGGCCCAGTTGTATGGCGGAAGCGGTATGATCGACCCTTAGTATAAATTTAATATGACGTGACAGATATAAATCTGCACTAAGGGAGAACTGAGGTTAACGAATGCATTGTTTTGGTTAAAGTGTATATCTCGTATTACAATATTTCTATAATACAAACTGTCTACACGTTACGTTTAAAAATATCAATACAAATTCATTGAAAGCAGTTTGAAAAAAAAAAACAGATCTTCAATAAAAAAAATTAAAAATTAATACTGATTGTTTACCAATAATACTTTTATAATTTCAATATATAAAAGGTGTAACAGACAGAAGTTAGAGTCTTTGAAAGTTACAAGAATTGTACATACCTCACGTAAATAAAGCCGAAGTTTGGGCGGTGGGCGGTGTTGGGCGTCGTTGGGCGGCATTGGGCGTTGCTGGGCGGTCGCTTGGTGCCGACGCGCGCCGACGACAGAAGCGTTCCTCTCGCGCCGCGGTCTGCGCGCGCGCACCGCCTGATTAACGCGCGGGAAAACTTGATTTATCACGTCGCGTTGAAAAAATAAATCGACGGGCGACCGGGACACGTGATGGAGGGTCAGGAGTGGCGGGACGAGTGGCATCAGCCACGTCTCATGGATGGTCAGTGCCTGCGGTCAATCTATTTTTATTGTTTTTTTAAATCGATAGCAGGGATAGGTCCTATAAGATTGGGTCTATGGAGGTTGGGATATGCCAGCCAGTGCTTGTTGCTTTCACCAAGAAGGTTCTATTGAGCTTTTAGATTTCTTATGTTCCATTTTTATTACTTAATACCTATTGTTTTTAATTTATTATGGATGATATACGGCGGACAAATACCACTATTTATGCCAACCACAATTATAATTAGTCTAAAAAGTAATAGTGATGCCTGAACTATATTTTAATTTAAACCATAATGAAATTATAAAAAAAAATCTAAGCGTAAAATTCTGAAAAGTGTGTCCAAGCCATTTACAAGAATTTTATATGTACAAAGAAAGAAATTGCAAACTTTTGTTGTCCAGTGAATTTAACTTTTTAATATCCATATATTTTAAACATTATAATTTTTAAATAGTATCTACCAAATAGTGAATTTATCTTTATCTCCAGATAGTATTATTTAAGATAACTTAAAGCGCTATAGAAAATCCAACTATTTCAATACAATGAAAGAAAAAAAATAACTATTTATTTCCGTTATTTACATGTAATTTTTTTATATAGATTAAAAAAGTAATAAATACTAAAAAAGTAATAAAGTAATAATTAAAATATTTAAAAGAAAATTTATATAGTTATTAATTCATTTTTGGTTTGTAAGATTACCGTCGACTTCCACTGCAGCATAACATGACTTTTGTAAAGTAGGTATACACTGATCAGAACGAATAATTTGTAATACCACCGTGACTTCTATACTGTCGAAACAAGCAAAAAAAAAACTGATATTAACAACATGTTAGCTATAAGCAAATTGCCTGCTACTTTATCCGCGAGGAATTAAAAAGAAAAATGTAAAAGTATCTCATATTTTATTTACAGTATATGTTCTTTATCTGTGCCAAATTTAAATAAGACATGTCAAACCGTTGCTGAGTTATCGACTAAATATGTCACTTAAACGTATTCTACGGGAACCGCAGTCATATCCAGGATCATAGCTAGCTTATGTGTTCTTCCAGAATGTTCTACATCTATTTCATAATTCGTACAGATCCACGCAAGCGTTCTGGAAATACCTTCAAACAAATGTTCATCCATCTGCTCATCCACTAAACATTTGTATTTTTAATATTAATAAAATAAGTTTAGCAATGGAAACTCACGCTTACTATTTTACTAATATTACAGATGGGAATGTTTAGATGGATGTATGGATAAATGCATGTATGGATGTTTGTTTGAAGATATCTCCAGAACAGCTCAACGCATCAGGATGAAATTGAGCATAGATATAGAACATAGTCTGTACGGATACATAGGCTACTTATAAAGTTTTTTTTTAATTCTGCGCGGACATTGTCGCGGGCGATAGTTAGTAGCTCATAATAGCACGTAGCATCAATGCAAAAGGCTTAAATAACATTCACATACCGAAGTATAGTCTTGGCGCAAGCATCTAAGATTCCTCGCGTTCAGAGTTTCAGAGTGTTGTGTGTTCTGAACGTTCATTCATCTATCTGTCATCGGTAGAGCATACGCTTCCCGCGCTCTGACGATTGACAGCCGACGTTCAAGATGGCCGCTCGCATCGTGATTTTAGTCACTGTCACAGCAATATGCATACGCATATGCTTAGACAGATTGCGATTAGCAAACGAATTAACCTTCTCAGTTTATCATGCATTGACTAGTCTAGCGTTGAGCAGATGTGTATGGATGTACCGTGGGTTTACACTGACGAGATCCATACAAATTGTATTAATTTCCTTGTTCATTAGAAGATGCTACCGGCAAGTTAGATATTGTCTATGATAATCTTATTAAAAACTATCCAGACGCGTTATAAAGGTTAATTACCAATTTATAAGTCAAACGTATTTAAATGTGGGACCACCTAAGAACAACCACGTTAATTTGAATATTACAAAACATACGTAAAATCTTACTAATATTATAAACGCGAATGTTTGGATGAATGGATATATGGATGTTTGTTTGAAGATATATAAAGAACAGCTGCATGTAACTCGCTAAAATTTGGCATAGATGTAGAACATAGTCTGGAAGTACACATAGGCTTATTACGCTCGAACGTGGTCGCTGGCGACAGCTAATACGCGCATAAAAATGTTGAAAATCATGTTACCCCAAGTCTTATTTGTGGTTAGAATAAAGTATAACATTATCTCAATTAAATTAAAAACTATTTAATTAAAAAAAATATCTAGAAATTAAAGGAACAGTTAGGCAAATAAATCTTTGCTAAAACAATATTGTCTTTAAGTTTCGTATTCGTAAGTAACATGTCAATTTAGATTGATGAGGCGACGTGGTGGGCGAGGTTTTTTGTGGTAATTATACGTAGGATACCGTCGCCTTGCTCTGCCCTGACAGACTGAATGCCGTTCTAATAATTTACTAATTATATATTCTGTTAATGTGTTGGTAAAAAATATGTTTTTGGATTCGTAAAATAGTTTAAATCCTTAAAAATACATTGGTAACTAATTTATTACGCAAACAGATCAATATGCAAACAATGCTTCCCGCAATTAATTTCCACGCGGAATAAAAAAAAATTGTAATAAATACAGCCTAGTAGCTATGGCCCGCGGCTTCATCCGCTCGTAATTAAAAAAATAATTAGTAGCCTATATGTTCTTGTGTGTGTTAAAATCGGTTTAGTGGTATCGGAGCTTATTCAATGCTAAAAAAACTAAAAAAAAAAGTATAAAGTAACGTATTCTAACAAAACTAATACTGTTAAACAACGTTTAACGAGAGATTAATTTGAAATTAAATTGACCTTTCCTAAATTTGCTTTTTTTCTTATCTTGAAAGTTTGCCGTTATTTTTCACTTGACGTTTGCAATTCTTTATCAGTTGAACACATGGTTAACATGAAGTCGAGTGTTCGCTTAACGTATTCCTGTAGTAAAAAAAGTAAGATTTATGTCACTCTTGTACTGAAATATGGAGATTTTGCCATTTTTAAAATGCTTTTCTAGTTGTTAATCTACAGAGATGATGAAAAGAAGTCCGACCTAAGTTATTACTTTTGTGTTAAAAACTTAGTAACGATTAGATTTTGAATTTAGAATTTAAAAAAAAGCTTAATTCTATAAATAATACTGGCCAAAAATAGTATCAATATACCAAATTAAAATAAAAAAAAGAAGATACTGGCTGAAAAATAACCATTATAAAAAGAAGTATTCTATAGCAGCTGTAAAATCGTAGCTACGGTAAAAAAATAACAGATCGCAGACTCCCTTCCTTGCAGATGGGATATTATCTTATCAGGACATTTGTAAATGTCGTTCATAGTTATGACGCTCGTAAAAGCGATATTTTAGCCCTTTCTTAGTAACACTTATAAGGAGAAATACTTAAAAACTACATATATTCATTATAGTTGGAGCCCGCTTCATCCGCGTTGAGATGTTTTTGTTAAACATTATCGTAAAAAGGATTTAATTAGTTATTTTTATGCCAATTTAAAGTAATAAAGTTTGAAAGGATTGGATTAGACCTTTAAGATGTAAATTTAGAAAAACTTTATATTACATTTAATATCGGAAAACTGGACGCAAAATTTCAAGCACCTAGACTTAGTAGTAAGTAACCTGAACCCCTTTAAGTCCACGGCGAGATCTGCCGGCAAATATAGTTGAAGGTATTCGAGTTGAAAAAAAAATGTTGAACGATATTTGTAAAATTTTCAAAAAAGTATACGAGAAAAAAGTTTGAATATCTGACAGAAAGAACTTTGGAATCCTTTATACGATATTTTTTTTGTAGTTGAATATAAACATTGGACGGTTCTCATGAGGATTGGCGGATGATGTTTTATCATAAACACGTGTTGTTTGATTGCCTCAAGCAGGCAACAGACTTGCGAAACAATCCTTTAACGCCTTCAAGTTTATATGGATTTAGCAAAATATATTTTTTCGATAACTTTGACATTGGAAAAAATGGCTAAATGAATAATAACAACAGTAAAGTTTTATTATTCCTCGTATTAATTTATTTATCATATTTTTAATATAGTACATTTCATATTCAAAATAAAAAAATACACAAAATATATTATATTAAAAATATTATTTATTAATATTTCTTACTTATTATAAATGCGAATGTTTAGATGGATGGATGTTTAAGGTATCTTCAGAAAGACTGAACGGATCTTGATGAAATTTGGCGTACAATTAGTACATTGTCTGGAAGAAAACATATACCACTATTTATGCTTTTTTTTAATTGCGTCCGGACGCAGTCGCAGACGACAACTAATAGTGCATAAATGGGAAAGAATTCTATTGATTTGTATTGCGAGAGTTGAATTTTTATTTATTTTAATAAATGGCGTGATTCACTAAGACCTTATCTTAAATGCTTTGAATGTTATCAAATAAGTCTTAGGTAAATAAAACTGGCTGTTAAGATTTTTTTTAAGATGCATGATTTTTTTTAATTCTTTTGATTTTTTTTTACTGAAATAGCTGTTATTGTTACGTATAATATATGAAACATAAAGGCATGCGTGCGTGTGCGCATCAAAGCGGCAAGCGGCTACTTATTGCGTACGTTTAAAATTAAATATTGTAACAATAAACAAGAGACCGCAGAGCGAGGGTTTATTTTGTTACCAGTACTGAGTTGTGCCTACAGTTAAATACAATGAAAACGTTTGATTTTATTGCGCAGTGCAAACGCCCCTTTTGTAGGTAAAAAATGTGAAAACTCACATGACAGTTCGTGTTTCGGTAGTGGAATCCTATGCTTATAATAACAAAACATTTATACAAAACGGTCAAAAAGTGAACCTATATCTTTCATACGTCGGCAACTCATCTAATTATTCTGGTGTTACGGGTTTAGTGGATGTCTATGGGCGTTGAAGATTTCCTCGTGGCACTTATAAAAAAAACAATTTGAAGTAGGAA